AATTGTATTCCAATATACGGACACACCACAATTCGTTTATCCGTTTGTCAGTTGACATTTGGATTGTTTCCAGTTTGGGCTGTTGTGTACACTGCTGCTATTGATATTTATATATCAATATATATGTATATATAGTTGTTGTTGTTATGTGCCATCAAGCGGACCTGATTCATGGTGACCCCTCCTTGGGTTTCCGAGGCAGTGTTACTACAGAAGTAGATTGCCTAACCTTCCTTCCGAGGAGTGGCTGTTGGGTTTGAACTGCCAGCCTTCTGGTTAGCAGTCAAGTGCCTTAGGCACTATGCTACCAGAGCTCCTATATATATACATATACATATACATATACATATACATATACATACATATACATATACATATACATATTCTTATTTCTCTTGAGTGGAATTTCTGGGTTAAATGGTAAATTTATGTTTAATTTTTTTTTTTAAGAAATTACCAAACTGTTTTCCAAAGTGCCTGCTCAATTTTACATTTCTGTCAGCAATGCATGAAGGTTCCTTTTTCTCCATGTCTTTGCCAATACTTGGTATTATCCATCTTTTTTATTTTAGCCATTCATTTGGATATGTAGTGGTCTCTCATTGTGGTTTTAATTTGTGTTTTCCTAATGATTGCTTGAGCCTCTTTTCATGCATTTATTTATATTCATTTATCTTCTTTGGTAAAATGTCTAATATGAAAATATTGTGCCCATTTTTTAATTGGGTTGTCTATTATTGAGTTATAAAGTTCACTGTATTTTTAAAAAATTGATGGGATTTTAATGTTGCAGATCCAATTTTAAAAGTAAGCAGTTGAATGAGATGGTTTAATACTTGTGGTATTTCCTTTCATAGCCTTTAAAGTTTTTTCCACCTATGCATTATCCTCAGGCAAGCGTCCCACAATTTTAGAAGAGTATTGCTGCCTAGAAAAGGAAAGTGAGGAATTTAGGTCATTTCACTTGTTGGACAGAGAGCTGTATCTGGACTGTGACCCTACTTGAGACTGGGTGGTCAGGGGGCTTTGTAGATGCTTTATTCTTTCCTCAGGGCTCGGCGTGAGGCCTGGTATTGCTCCATTGCTTGTCCATAAGCAGAATTGATGTGGATCTTGGACCCAGGCCTTGGACTTCTGTTTGCTTGAAGGGTGCGCTTATTTGCTGGGTCAGAAGCCAGGTGCCAGGTGCCCGGAGATGATGGTCAGGGGTCCTGTTGGCTTTGGCTTGGCTTCCCATTCCTTGGGCATGCTGAGTTTTGCAGGTGGCTCTCCTGGCAGCAGAGCACCTTGTCTTTTGTCACTTCATAAAGATTCCCAGGTAGGGTCTCCCTTATGGTAGTGCAGCTGTATCTCCTCACCCTTGGTGACCCTACTCTGTAAGGAGACTTACTACCTGTGGTTGACTTTATGCTCTATGGGCTCTGGGCTGGCATCTGGGCGATCAGCAGAGGCTCATGATCTGCAAACGTGCCAAACTCCTCCAGGAGGGTACCCTTCTCCTTTCCCTGAGCTCGGAACTTCTCTGCTGATCTCTGGACAAAATGGCCAACTGGACTCTCATCTGGATGACAGGAGAAAGAAAAAGAATGTTTTCAGTTATTCTGAGCCAAAGAAAGATATAGCACTAGTGAAATGGGAGGACTCAATGTATACAAAAGAGCTCTGGTGGTATAGTGGTATAGCTAACCAGAAGGTTGGTGGATTGAACCCACCAGCCACTCCATGGGAGAAAGATTGGGCAGTCTGCTTCCATAAAGGTTTACACCCTTGGAAATCCAATGGGGATCCCTATGAGTTGCAATCAACTCGACGGCAGTGAGTTTGGTTTTGGTTAATGTACACAATGAATATTAAAATATTGCTTAAGACATTTTGTGCTTGGGTTCTCACCTTTGTCCCTCAGGCAATGCTTGATTTCTCACTTTCCCTTTGTAAGCACATAAGACTCCTAAAATGAAGCCACCCTGGGTAAAAGGACTTGGACTATTTAGACTGTGAACTCTGCATCCGGCAGGAGCAACCAAATGTGCATGACAGCTGCCAAAAGACTTTATTCAGTGGCTCATTTAATTCAATGGAAAGAGGTGTTAATAGAATCAGGGGAAGTGATGCTATTAAAAGAAATGACATTATGTGGTTCTGTTCTGTGTTTATATTCCCTCAATGACTTCCAGATCAAACTTACAGTTTGGCATCCAACGATGCCTGTTTTGGACTCTAGTTTGAGGCAAATAAAGTATCCAGCATAGCTGTTCCTCTCTTCCTGCTACATGTCATTCCTCAGCATTTGGTGTCCACCTGATTGTCAGACAACTCAGGATCATCTCCCTGGGGGAGCTAGGTCTGGGTATCAGCATGTGAGAATAATAACAGGGTCAGGTATCACATGACTGTCAGGTTGCTGGCCTCAGTGTCCAGCAAGGGTTTAGGGTCTCCATAGCCCTTGAATCTTAAGATCCCAAAGGGTGGGTGGGATGTTGGTGCAAGAAAGGAATCAGGAACCTGTATTCTTCCTCCCTCCCCCATGTGAAGTTGGCCAAAGATACTGAGAGCTCCAGACGGTGGAAGGGTATTATTGGTGATGATCTGAGAGACTGTCACAGAGACCATCTAAGAACTTGTATTCTCCATAAACAATGAGTGCTTGGAGAATGCAGTCTTCAGTTATAAAAGTCATCTGGGGGTTTGGGGAAGAAAACAAACAAACAAACAAACAAAACTCACTACCATCAAGTCAATTCCGACTCACACGACCCCCTTTGGGTTTCTGAGGTGGTAAATCTTTATGGAAGTAGATTGCCCAGTCTTCCTTCCACGGAGTGGCTGGTGGATTTGAAAAGCCAACTCTCTGATTAGCTGTCAAATGCCTTAGGCACTACGCCACCAGAGCTCCTTCTGGGCAAGAGAGGAATGGTATAATCATCAAAATATCTGAGACCACCATGGTGTCTTCTCTTTCCTGACCTGAGGGAGAAAAGAGAGAAATCTCAAATCATGCATTTTCAATGAGGAGGAAGATTTCTTCTCTCAGCTTTCACTGAGGGGGAGAAAATGAGTCTTTTTTACCTACTGAGCACAAATATGCATACAGTACATAAACATATACAGTCTGTCTGTGGTATTAAAATTTCATTAGTGAGGTGATTAGGAAAAAGAGTCTAAAAAGCCTTTTCAGAGGGACAATTGGAAAAAATTTTGAGGAACACTGATCTAAGCTAAGATTTTCAGACAAAACCAAAAATCTCATGGTCATCGAGTCAGTTCTGACTCAGGGAGCTCTGGTGGTAGTGGTTAAAGCATTTGGCTGCTAACTAAAAAGGTCACCAGCTGCTTTGTGGGAGAAGGATGAGGCAGTGTGCATCCATAAAGATTTACAGCCTTGGAAAACCTATGGGGCAGTTCTACTCTGTCATATATGGTTGCAATGAGTTAGAAGGTTTTGAGAACATTGATGAAAATAACTGAGAGTCCTGGCAGGTTAATAAACAAAGTCTGCACTAACTCCTGACCTGTGGACATTCTCCTGCTGCAGAAATAGTGGCCCAGCACTAGAAGGATAGTGTTAGGACTACCTTCCTGGGAACTGTCTGTTCTCCTGACCTATGTTGGAGGTTTCAAAGCAAATCCAGAGTAATTTCTGCAGTTTCCCATGTCTCTTCTACTTTTGTTTGCCCATCTTTTACTGAGGGTTGAGATGCATGCTATTTCACAGTTAACAATATTCTAAGGATTTCCTAATTCTTTTGATTTCAGTGTGCTGGTAAATAAGTAATTATTTTTATAAAGATCAGCACAAAACCGGTTTCTATGAAGAGGAGGTTCAAGATGTCCCAAATGTCCAACTTGTCCACAGTGCTGCACCACTCCATCATCTCTGATGTCACCTAGTCCCCTTCCCTTCAGTACTCTCCCTCCCTCTTTGGTTTTGATAATTAGCTGCAGCCTCTCACAAAATTAATGAACCGTACTTACAGTTAAGTGATTTATCAGGGAAGTAACAGGATACAATTTGGGAGTGGGAACAACTCAGAAGTCACAGGAACAACTCAGGATACAGTCCTTGATCATGACAACTTCTTCTCACCCTCTGCTGCTGGGCCCTGCTCAGGGCCTTCTCAGGCAAGTGTTACAGCTCTTAGCTAAGTAGTCCCCACCACAGCCCTCTAGTACTTCTCTCTCTCTCTCTCTTTTCCTGTGTCCTGCATTTAGCCTAGCAGAATGGCAAAACTGACCAATACCCTCATTAAGGTTCCATATGCCTTATTTGCATAGTCCCACCCCCACAAGGATTCCCTGTACTTTTTTTTTTTTTTGCATTAGCAGTAAGCTGTCCAATCCTGCCGCACTCTATTTGCATAGTCCCACCCAATCATTGTAAGGGGGGGGTCACAAAGTCTATGGCTAGAAGGACCATATAAAGTAATCCACTGCACTGCAGCTGGAGAGAAAATATTCCTGCCTGCCTGCTCATCCCCCTTCAATGAAAATAGAGAAATAACAAAGAGTTTGCAAGAGAATAGTGCCAAGGTCTTTTATTCTCTTCAAGCTCTTAGATCACTGGGAAAGATATGAGCTGGTCCCTTTCACAGGAGGGCTGGAAGGCTCTGAGGATACCAGAATTAGATGCCACCCTTGCCCGGTCTTGTCTGGCCAGAAGTCGGGCTGCCCAGGGAGACACCTGCCCTCAGCTTTCCAACGGGGTGGGGTGGGGGGGGTGGAGGCGGAGGAACAAGGGATGACAGAGCCATCTGTGATCCCAGATTCACGAGAAAGAGTTCTCCCCGGGACGGCAAGCAGCCTCGGGAGGTGCTTCCGCGTTACGGTCTCTGTGACTCTCCTTTCCTTCTCGTTCTCTTCTCTCTTTTCTTTCTCTTTGGTCTCTTCACTGGGACTTGGCCGGGCCATGTGCAAACCCCAACCATTCAACAGTGCTGGAGAGTAGATAGTATTTACCTCAATAATGGTAGTCTCTTTTCGATTCTTTCTAACCCTCAATTCAGATGACGGGTCTAAGCCAACACCCACGATGGAGACTCAGCCGATGTTCGATGGAGATGGTAAGCTCTTATGTTACTTCCAACTCTCACTCTCCCACCCATCTTCAGATTTGGGAAAGGTCTTTCCTTTGGATGTTTAAGCTTTCTTCCTTTTCTTTTTTTTAATTTCAATTTTCTCCAGTTTATGCTGGGTTGTTTTAACTTTTTTTTTTTTTTTTTTAAATGCAAATCCTCCAAGGAACTGGTACATTCTCCATTTCTGGAAAGGTCTTCTGTCCTCCCTAGGCTTCCTGCCTGTCTCCCGATGTCCAACAACAACATAGCCCAAACAGACCCTTTGAGTTGCCAAAACCAAGGAATCATGGCTGAGGGAGAAAGTCAAGCCAGCAGTGTCCCTCCAGTAAATGAGCCAGCACTTACAAGTGCCTGCTCTGTGCCTAGCATTGTGTTGTAGAAGAAATGTAAGCCTCTGCTCTCAAGACAGATACAAGTATTAGAGAGCTTTTGGGTTAAATTATGTGGCCTCAATTTTTAGTGTAATAGGTATTTATGGGAAAAAGATATCAGGATGGTTTGGGAAAAGATTGTGTGAAGAGATGGCACTGGGACTGGATCTTGAAAGTGGGGGGTAGGAATCAGGGTGTTCCAGGAAGGGCAAATGTTTGAAGGAGAGAAGTGGTGGGTACATGGTGTAGTTGGGAAAGCAGCAAAGAAAGAGATTGGCTAGTGCAGCTGGTTTGGCTAGGTTATAGGGACCTGGAGAGTTGAGTCAAGACCTGCCCGAGAGGTGAAATTCCAGGACAAGGGAATTACAGTTGTCTATTGGCAAAATAGAGTCTGGATATCCATGTCTGGGGAGGGATGGAAAGTAAACAGGAATGACATGGAGTGTGGAATGTGGCCTCAATTCTAGGTTTGAGCTGCTCAGGCCCTCCATTCCTCAGTGTACTTTGCTGTGTAGTCCAGGCCCCTGTGAAGAAGACAAGGAAGCTTAGTACAGCACAGTTCTCAGAGAGTCAGAGAATGAGGTTCAGTTCTCAGTGCAATATGTGGGAAAAGCTAAACAGCTTTCAGCTGAGTATATCCAGGCCTGGGTCTTGAGCTGGACAGTGAGACAGAGGAATTAAAAGGGATCCTGCCACTGGTTGGCACTGGGGCTAGGGATGTCCCTAACATGGGCTCAATTCTGGGTTGAAATGTGGCTTGTTTGGTGGAACATGTGTGTTCATGCCTAGAACTTCAGATGTTTGCATGATTCCCCAAAGTCTTGGATAGCTGGCCAAGGCTGGGGCCCTGGGAGTCATGTAGGGGTCAGATGGAGACCTTCCTAGCACCCCCATTGAAGATTTTCTCACTCTACAGTATATTCAGGGTAATACTACCTGTCTACTGGGTGATCATGCCCTGGAGAGACCTAGAGGCTCCATGGAGCTCCCTGAATGGAAGAATTCAACCTTCATTCAATGAGGAACCATTAGAAAGGAAATTGAACATCAGATTAGACCCACTACTTACTTTCTCTTGTGGAGCAGAGTCTCTGTAAACTGAAATCTGCTGTGGCTCAGCTGTTTCCTCTAAAACGGTCTCTGTGGTTTGTTTGGTGCTTGTTTGTTGATTTATCCCCTTTAAATCTTCTCCCAGGGAAGCAGCTGAGAGGGACTTGGCTTGGCCCATGTTCCTCACCTCCTGGGATAATATTTTTATTCCTGGATGGAGTGGCTCAGCACCTCTGAACTCTGACCACTAGGCCTTCTGGCCCAGGAGGCCCTGGTTGGCGCCTATGAGCTGATGGGGAAAGGCATTTCCATTGTAAGGAAGGGAAAAGACATTGGGACAAGGTGGGTATGGATGAGGGAAGAAGATGAAACCTCAGGATTTAGATGCCCTAGGTATTTAGAAAAGCTGTTAAAAACTGGTGATTACTCTCCAACTCACATTCTGTCTTTGTCCAGACTTTATTTTTTCTCTCTTCTCTTCAGAAATCACAGCTCCAACTCTCTGGATTAAGCACTTGGTGATCAAGGACTCCAAACTGAACAACACCAACATAAGAAATTCAGGTAAATAATTTTCCTTGGACTATATGTGTACCTAATCCATCCATGGGGAGCTCTGGTAGCATAGTGGCTAAGACACTTGCCTGCTAACCAGACGGTTGGCGGTTCAAACCCACCAGCCACTCCTCAGAAGGAAGGTTGGGCAATCCTACTCCCGTAGTGATACTGCCTCGGAAACCCAAGGAGGGGTCGCTATGAGTTGGGGCTGATTCGACGGCACATAACAACAACAACAACAATCCATCCATATCTACTCCAGGAGTACCACTGTGTGGGCTTGGGCAAGTCGCTTAAGTCTTGTTCTTGATTTCTACAGCTACAAAAGAAGATTGTGCAAGTTAATTCCTTCTGAGTTTCATTTGCTTCAATTATTATCTCAGGGATCAGATTTTGTGAGTAGTTGATCCTCTTACCTAACAAATATTTTTGACTATATATTTTAATATTTTAATTTACTTTCTGTATGCCATGTAGAAGAATTTAAAAGAAGAATGAATGGCATAGAGAAACTGGGCTTCAAACCTAAAGAGGCTTTGTTCTATGTGCTTCAACGACTCTAAGTAAAGGTTTAGTCTTGTTTTTTCTGGTATGATTTTTTAGGGGGTTGCTAATCAGAAAGTTGGAAGTTTGAGTCCTACCTGGAGGCACCTTGGAAGAAAGGCCTGGTGATCTACTTCCAACAAATCAGCCACCAAAAACCCAATGGAACACAGTTCTGACACTCACGGGGTTGCCATGAGTCAGAATTGACTCAATGGAAACTGGTTTTGGTTGTGAGTGGTCAGGTTTTAGCACTAGCTGAGCCCTTTGTAGAAATGTGATAATTTTTGAAGGGTGATAAGATTTGTAGGACTCATTTTTACAGTTCATATATCATCAATAAAGGCCAAAGTTAATGTCCCTCAACAGGAATATGTATTAACAAACCTAATCTGTATCTCTATCAGGAACAGATACAGATCTTTCTTTCAGCCTAAGATTTTATTGTGGGAACTGTTACTCTGTACAATTTATGTTGTTAAATTTACCCATCTATTTTCCTTATAGGTAGCAAGGGATTAAAAAAAGATACAGCCCTTTAAAGCAACAAGCAGAATTTAAATGATCACTAATTAATGGCTGTGTTGTGATCCATCCCCTTTACATTTATATGTATGCCAGTACTGTCCTGAAGGTAGCAGTGTGGGGGCCAGAGTACACAGAGTGATTTAGACCAAGAGGTAACTCCATCAAGCATCTGTTGATGTTCTCTGTGGCTTGGGCTGGTCAGTGCCTCTCCATGTGTTTGTTTCCCTCTTTAACAAAAGCTGGAGGTATGGGATGATGACGTGAAAAGGAGACCATATGAACTCTATGTGCCTCTAAACACACAATACAGTGGTTAAAGCACAGGCTTTAGAATCAAAGAAATCCGGGTTCACATCCCAGCTCCCATACTTAGGGAGTGACCCTAATGAAGCTGAATAATCTCCCTGAACCTCAGTTCTCATCTGTAAAATGGAATCATAAACTCTCCATCAAAGGATTGTAGTTAAAGGTGAACTGAGTTACTGTATGCATGCCATTTAATTTACGCTTAGCTAAATGATAAATAGTAAATGCATGAAAACCTTATGAAAGCAGTGAAACACTGTCTGATATATTGCTGGAAAACTTCATGAATAACCCTGAAAAATGGTCTGATATAGTGCCAGAAGATGAGCCCTGCAGGTCAGAAGGCACTCAAAATATGTCTTTTCAAAGTAGAGTTGACCTTAATGATGTGGACAGAGTAAAGCTTTTAGGACCTCCATTTGCAGACCCAAAATGGGAAAAAAAAAAAGCAATTGCAAACATCAGTTAATAATCAGAATGTGGAATTATGAAGTATAAATGAAGGAAAATTGGAAGTTGTCAGAAATGAAATGGAGCTCATAAAGATCAGTAACCTAGGTGTTAGTGAGCTGAAATGGACTGGCTTTAGCCATTTTGAATCAGACTACGATTTTGAATTAGATTTTGAATCAGATTTTGAATCAGACTATGCTCTACCATGCTAGGAATGACAAATTGAAGAGGAATGGCATGGCATTCATTGTCACAAAGAATGTTTCAAGATCAATCCTGAAGTACAATGCTGTCAGTGGTAGGATAATATCCATACACCTACAAGGCAGACCAGTTAATACTACTATTATTTGAATTTATGCACCAACCACTAAAGCCAAAGATGAAGAAATTGAAGATTTTTACCAACTTCTACAGTCTGCAATTGACCAAACATGCAATCAAGATGTATTGATTATTACTGGTGATTGGAATGCAAAAGTTGGAAACAAAGAAGAATCATTAGTGGTTGGAAAATATGGCCTTGGTGATAGAAATGATGCAGCTAATCACATGATAAAATTTTGCAAGACCAATGGCTTATTCATTGTAAATACATTTTTCCAACAACATAATTGGCAGCTATACACATGGACCTCACCAGATGGAATTCATAGGAATCAGATTGACTATATCTGTGGCAAGAAGCAATGGAGAAGCTCAATACCTTCAGCCAAAACAAGGCCAGGAGCTGACTGTAGAACAGACCATCAATTGCTCATATGCAAGTTCAAGTTGAAGCTGAAGACAATTAAAGCAAGTCTACAAGACCCAAAATATGACCTTCATTATATCCATGTGAATTTAGATACCATCTGAAGAATGGATTTGACACATTGAACACCAGTGACCAAAAACCAGATGAATTGTGAGACAACATCATACATGAAGAAAGCAAATGGTCATTAAAAAGACAGGAAAGGAAGAAAAGACCAAAATGAATGTCAGAAGAGACTCTGAAACTTGCTTTTGAATGAACAGTAACTAAAGCAAAAAGATGTCAGAAGATTTCAAAGAGCAGCTCAAGAAGACAAAGTCAATTAAATGTCCAGAGACCTGGAGTTTGAAAACCAAAAGGGAAGAACATGCTCAGCATTTCTCAAGCTGAAAGAACTGAAGAAAATATTCAAGCCTTGAGTTGCCATATTGAAGGATTCTATTGGGAGCTCTGGTAGCATAGTGGCTAAGACACTTGCCTGCTAACCAGACGGCTGGCGGTTCAAACCCACCAGCCACTCCCCAGAAGGAAAGGTTGGGCAATCCTACTTCCATAGTGATACTGCCTCGGAAGCCCAAGGAGGGGTCGCTATGAGTCGGGGCTGACTCGACAGCACATAACAACAACAACAACAACAACAATGGGCAAAATATTGAATGATGCAGGAAGCATCAGAGAAGATGGAAGGAATACATAAAATCACTGTACCAAAAAGAATTAGCAGATGTTCACCTATTTCAGGAGGTGGCATATGATGAAGAACCAATGGTACTGAAGGAAGATGTCTAAGCCACACTGAAGGAATTGGCAAAAACAAGACTCCAGGAATTGATGGAATACCCATTAAGATGTTTCATAAATGGATGCTGTGCTGGAGGCATGCACATGTCTACGCCAATGGAAGACAGCTACCTGGCCAACTGACTGGAAGAGATCCATATTTGTACCCATTCCAAAGAAAGGTGATCCCACTGAATGTAGAAATTATTGAGCAATATCATTAATATCATAACCCCAAAACCCAAACTCACTGCCATTGAGTCGGGTCCAACTCATAACAACCCCTCCTTGGGTTTCCAAGGTGGTATCACTACAAAAGTAGATTGCCCAATCTTCCTTCTGAGGAGGCTGGTGGGTTTGAACCACCAGCCTTCTGGTTAGCAGTCAAATGCCTTAGGCACTATGCTACCAGAGTGCCTATTAATATCATAAGCAAGTAAAATTTTGCTGAAGATAATTCAAAAAAGGTTGCAGCAGTATATTGACAGTAGCTCTGGTGGTATAGTGCCTAAGGCATTTGACTGGTAACCAGAAGGCTGGCAGTTGAAACCCACGAGCCACTCCTTGGAAGGAAGACTGACTGGGCAATCTACTTCCATGGAGATACTGCCTCGGAAACCCAAGAAGATGTCACTATGAGTCAGGACTGACTCAATGGCAGTGAGTTTGGTTTGTATATTGACAGGGAACGAACTTCCAGAAATGCAACCTGGATTCAGAAGAGGATGTGGGATGAGGAACATCATTGTTGATGTCAGATAGATCTTGGCTGAAAGCAAAGAATACCAGAAGATGTTTACTTGTGTTGTTTTGACTATGCAAAAGCATTTGATTGTGTGGATCATAACAAATTATGGATAACATTGATAAGAATAGGAGCTCTGGTAGCATAGTGCCTAAGGCACTTGACTGCTAACCAGAAGGCTGGTGGTTCAAACCCACCAGCCACTCCTCGGAAGGAAGGTTGGGCAATCCACTTCTGTAGTGAAACTGCCTCGGAAACCCAAGGAGGGGTCACTATGAGTCAGGTCCAACTCGACGGCATATAACAACAACATTGATAAGAATGGGAATTCCAGAACACTTAATTGTACTCATGAACAACCTGTACATAAACCAGGAGCCTGTCATTTGAAAAGAACAAGGGGATACTGCATAGTTTAAAATCAGGAAGGGTGTACATCAGGGTTGTATCCTTTCACCATACTTATTCAATCTGTATGTTGAGCAAATATTCCAAGAAAAGCTGTACTATATATGGCATCAGGATTGGAGGAATACTCATTAACAATCTGTGATATGCAGACAATAGGACCTTGCTTGCCAAAAGTGAAGATGACTTGAAGCACTTACTCATGAAATTTAAAGAATACAGTTTGCAGTATAGATTACACCTCAACATAAAGAAAACAAAAATCCTCGCAACTGGACTAATACACAGCATCACAATAAATGGAGAAAAGATTGAAGTAGTCAAAGATTTCATATTACTTGGATTCATAGTTAACATCAATGGAAGCAGCAATCTAGAAATTGGATGTTGTATTGTACTGGGCAAATCTGTTACAAAAGACCTATTAAAAGTGCTGAAGAGCAAAGATGTCTCTTTGAAGACTAATGTGCACCTGACCCAAGCCAC